CATAATTTCTCTCCAGGTTTATTGTGATCAGGCCTGGACTCTTCTCGCTCGGTTTTCAAACAGTGACACCAAAAACTGGATGATTGACTCAGGATACTGGTGGTACGACAGTACTGAAGCTGCAGGAGAAGCCGCTGATCCGTCCCACAACGCGGACATGATATCGCCAGCGTTCTGGCTGGTCAGTGGCAGTGAGCTTAAGATCACGCGCAGTGATGACTCTGGACACACTCCTTTGTTGCAAACAATAGGGAACTGTCTGAGCGGGCAGACATTTCGCTCTAAAATCACTAGCTATGGTGACTTCAGAAACGGTTCAGTTTGGTCCGATAAAAAGTGCCTGGGAAAATACAAAGTTCAATATGGTGGACAGTACCTAACAACTGAGGGCTTCGGACAGGCTTCATGCAGCGGTGACCTGCGCGCTGCTGATGAGGTAAGCTTCTGGTGTGGCTGGGACTGGAGCGGTTCTGTGATCATGATTGGAGGAGGCGGGATAAATTGTTCAGAAACCGACCACGGAATTGGAATAACGGTGGCGAAACCTCCCTCTTTTAAAATGATGGAAGATAACAGAAAGGAAGCTGACTTTGGTAACAAGGGATGGGGTTTGAAAACTAAACATTACTCATTGAATTTGTGGATTCATTGATTCATGCAATGTTGTATTGATTTGCTTTGAAGTTTTTCACTTTTAATTTTGTGATGTGTGAAATGCTGTTTAGAGGGTTTTTATTTATTTAATTTTTAGTCTATAAATGTTGCCGAAATCCTAGATTCTGAGGCTATCAGATTTATTGCATGCGGATTCCCAACCATTTACATACGTCAACAAACCCGCACACATATCTGGTTGAGTGGTGAAAAGGCTTTTTCTTGCCTCGTTCGATGACAAAAAAATTCTACCAAAAAGGGCTAGAGTTGAACTCTCGCTCTGAGTCGTTTGTGCATATTCTTCCCAAAAGTATTACGAAGGTTTAGAATGGGAGAGTAGCAAAAGAAGATGATAGGAAAGAGTTCGTCACGTTGTATGAACAACAGGATGGATTGCCACATGATCTTAATTAAGCCCTGAAGACAGACGCCATTATTATCAATTATGCTCATTACTCCAAGTACACAGGCAACAGTTTCGGTCATTCTTCCACCCACACCCTCCCTCCCCAGATGTTTCAACAAGAGGCAGCAGCATGACTTAGGAGACAGAAGCAGACCTAGATGGGGAGGGATGGGTCTCGAACTCAGAATTGAGGGGGTGAGTGAGTTTTCCTTCGATATCTAGATCTCATACTATGAATGATATCCTACCAAGTCGTAAAAGGTAGCCTAATTTTCAAAGACGAGCATAGGTTTGAGCTGCATAATTTGGAAAAAATCGAGCAATGCTACTACCATAATATGCTTATTTTACAGCACAATCTATTAGCGTTAGCTATGTGGAATAGTCTGAACAGTATAAAAAACATTCAAACTACTTTTGCTCATATTTATTCACTTGTTGTTATTCAGAAGGGTTTTTTCCGGTCGGCGGTCC